TTTTTTTTTTTTTTTTTTTTTTTTTTTTTTTTAAGGTTCAACTCATATATTTATTAATTTTAGAATAAAGATACAAAACGCGAGTTACAAAAATAAAGCTCTAGCTAACTAGTTACTAAATAGTTGTGGGGGGATAAGAATTAATTGCTCTACGAGACGATCTAAATCCCACTGCCGACCCATAAACAACTTTCACCCATCTACCTGATGGACTACTGGAAGACGTATCAACCTTAATAGCGTTTATAAACTACACTAACACCTACTGCACCTTTAATTAACTACACTACTACTAATAAATTAAAAATTCTATAAACATAATAACAAAGAGCTACGCTATTATAGTACACAACAATTATAGTAATCAATTATTTTTCCTCCATATCTAATGTAATTAACTAATCCTTCTGTATCATTATATTTTTTATCTGTAGGAGGTTTTTTTGTTGTTATACATTTTTCTTTACCATATTGTTCTTTTAAAACATTTTTTGTAAGTCCTAATGCGATATTAATTTCATGATAGACAGAACATCGTTCATTCCAAAAATCTCTAATTAAATCGAAAGAAATTTTCCGGAAATTATATAAAATTTCCTTTGTTTTTTTATAATTTTTTAATTTTCCATTAATAAATTTACATAAACTTAAAGGAATTATTCCTTTTATTATATCAATACTTGTAAAAAAATCTTCTCTAATTGAATTATCCCAAATATAAGGTAAATCTGGCAAATCAATATCTTCTACATATAATGCTTGATTTTCTATTTGATCATTAATACTATCAATTAAAATTTGTTTTATCTGTTGAATTAATATAAAATTGTCTTCTGATCTTTGGTTACATGTCCAAACATGATTAAATTCTTCTTTTTCTATATTACATATTGGACAAAAATGATCTTTAAAAATTGAAAAACATGATTTTTTAATATGTTCTATTGTAGGTATTTCTTCAATAAGAAATTGAATCTTTTTTCGCTTTAACTTAGATTCATAAAAATCTGTATGCATAGTACCTTGTTCTCCTTGTAGTAGATAAAATGTAATTTCCCAATCTACTTGTAGTTTTCGATATTTATAATTTCGATTAAGATTTAAAAATTGTTCCAGATTAAAAATATTTGTATATATTTTTAAAAATTTTCTTAAACTTAATTCTATTGGTACACCATTCCATTTAGGAAAAAATTTAATTAATGATATTGACGTTGTTTTAATATTTATTCCTAAATGTTGTATGTAATTATATTTATCTTTCAAATGTTGATTAAATATCGAAAAATTAAGATCATTTTCCTGAACAAGTAAGATATTAACATCTAATGATAATGTTTTAACAATTTCAAAAATTATAATCCACATATAATTATGGTGTTTTAATTTAAAAATTTGTCGACTTGTTAATGAAAAAAAATTATTAATTCTATAATTATTATATGTTTCTATTAACGATTTATCTTTTGTAAGAATAGTTATTCTACTATTATCTGGTAATATAATTATAGAACATAATAGTGCTAAAATTGATCTAATATAAATGTCGAATTCAAATCAAATGTACTAAAACCAAAAATTGATTCAGCTTTATCTGTGCCTATGTTTTTTGCTGATCCATCTATATAAGTTAAAAATTGTTTAACATTTAACGATAGTATTAATCTTTGAGAATATAATAAATCTGATTTATTTAAAGATAGATCTATATATTTATCAATTATATTAACATTTTGATTCTGAAAATTCATTATAAACCTTGAGTCCATAACTTTGATAATATTGTGGATTTAAATTTAATTGTTGATTTATTTCCATTATCTGAAAAATATCTACGTATTGAGTTTTTGGTAGAACTAATGTTTTATTTTTTTCAAATTTATCTGTAAAATTTTTTGTTTTTTCTCCTACTAAAAACATATTAGATGTTTTAAGCTTTAATAACCATTTTTTTGATTCACGAGTATCATTTGCAAAATTACAACCAGAACAAGTTTGAACTTCCATATAAATACTTTGTTTATCACTTGTTACAATATAATGTCTAATTATTTATTCTTCTCCCTTTTTTTCTTCATCAAAAATTCTTCCTATTTGTAATCCATTATTCCAAAACATTATAAATTGTTTTTTCTTAGATTCATTTGGCGAAATTAATTCGTAACCTTTTAAATTATTAATTATATTACTTTACCGATAACGTGGTTTCAATAAATTCGTATATTTATCTAAAAACGTTAATTTCGCTATACTAACATTATATAAAATTAGTTGAGACTTTTTCATCCAAATTTGGACTTATGGTTAGATTAAATGCAAAATCTAATCCATAAAAATGCACAAATTTTCACAAATTTTCATTTTAACAATGATTGTCAATGATCTAATGCATTCCAGGATATGATCAACATTTCGGTACAAAAAAATCTATCGAATTATTTGATATGAGGGTTAACTATGGCACATTCATACAATCATACCATAAAATTTTCCTTGAAAAATACAATCTAGATTTTTCTGATAGGATTTTACCATTGGGTTATCTTCTGAATCATCATCACTAGGCAGTTTCATCATCATATCTATGCATGTATAAGAATAAATAAATTTATGGCAATGATCACACGTTAAAAAATTTAAAATTTAATTTTTTACCAAAATCAGCATTTTCTTTTGTTCACAATTATCGACATAACCATTATCAATACTTGAAGGAGAATCTGTGGAATCTTGCTTTCTACCTGAACATCAATCTTTCCACATCAATCTGTCCACATCCACTTAACTTTGCTATTGCCAATTTCACATGAAAAAGTATGAGAAGACCATATTATTCAAAATTGTAATCTATTTTTGAAACCGAAGACTTCAAAACTTACTGTCCGGTGGCGGCGTAACCAAATGCTCTAGTTGGTGATTTAAATTGAAAAGTCGAAGCCGATACCTAAAAAAAGAAATATAAAAAAATATTAATAATAATATTTCTTTTTTTTAAAAAAAAAAGTTTCTAAAGTTCGAACGAAACTTTTGAAACTTACCGATACCTAAAAAAGAGAAAAAAAATATTAGAAAAATTTGGTTTTTTAAAAAACAAAGTTTCGAAAAAACGAAAATTTTGAAACTTACCGATCCAAAGTGAAGGGTCAAAGCCGATACTTAAAAAAAAGTGAAAAAAAAGCATTAGAAAAAATTATTCAATTATTCTTTGCATTGAGGAGGTCACCGTCAGATGACAGTCGTGATAGTCTCCCCATTTTTATTGCACTTCCAGTATCATCCGTCGTCTGATGACAGGCACGAACGTGTGGGATACCCGCCAGGAGGCAGGATTATGTACGTTGAGGAGGTCACTGTCAGATGACAGTCGTGAATCGTGATGGTCTCCCCATTTTTTTGCTTTTAAGAAATCCGATAGAACTAATTTTATTACCAGAACAATTACGAACTAATGAAATGATAACTATTTTTGTTTCTTCACCCTGAAAGTTATCAACAGTCCTTAAAGTAACTCGTTGATTTAATGGTTTTGAAGTATTATTTTCTTCTCTCTCCATATAAGCAATATTTTCTGCATCTCTCTCATCAATTTCAATGGAAAATGATTTAGATAAAGCATCCTTGATTTTGATCAATTGTCCTGAATAAGGAGTAAGCACTGCTATATCTTCATATTTAGTATATCCATTTTTAACAAAATATTTAACCATTTCTACAACCATTTTAACTTCATGCATATTTACATGAGATTGTATCCCAGAATCACCAAAACTATCTTCTGGGTGATTATAATCAATAAAATATACTTTATGCTGAGCTCCACATATATTTGGATATTTAGCAGTGTTTTTTCCATCTATTAAATCTTCATAAATTGTACGTCTGATTAAATCAGAAATTTCATTTCTCATACGTCTCTGAATTAACAGTCGAGTTCTTTCAATTGTAATTGCATTATTACCATCAACAAATCTTTCAAATAATGATTTATCTAATTGATAATATTCTCCTATTTGTAATTCCATACTAAGAGAATATGTTGAAACATTAGGTCGAAGTTGATTGTGATCCCCTATTAATATTAAATGTTGAGTAGAAGGAGTTAACGCACTAAGAATATGAGCTTCTAAACTTCACCAGCTTCTTCACAAATAATGATTTTAAGATCAATATATCTAATTAAATTTTGTAATTTAGCAGCACCACTTGTTGTCATACTAATAACATCACTATTTGATAATATTTAACGACGCGCTTCATCATAAATATCATTCAACTCTTGACGACATCCTTCATGCACAGTTTGTAAATTCAATAATATTTCTTCATCAAGTTCTGCATGCCAATAATCATGAAGTATTTGTCATTCTTTTTTTGATATTTTCCAAATTGGACAATCCTCTAATAATTCATTCAAAAAACGATCAGAGTGTGATTTTTCATAATTTTTTACAAATTGTAATTCTTCATTGATAAATTCATCATCATCTGAATCCGTTTTTTCATTATTTAACCAATGATCTTTTCTCTCTTCGATCTTTCTAATATCTTCTCCAATCAACCATTTTTCAAATTCGTGCATCTTCCTTCCTTGAACCTTAATAAATTTATTCTGAGATTCTTCAGTTTTTTTCTTTATTACTATCTTGAAAGCCTTTATCATCAGTTTGTTCGTCATCACCGAATAAGAAAACTATATTTTTTTTCACAAAGCTTTTGACCAGTCGAATTCTTAATAATAATATATTATTAATCTAGATTTACTGTATTTTTATCTATAATTTGTAAAATTTTCCCTAAAATATACAATAAGGGATAAACTAATCCTGGACGTATGATATACATCCCCGAAATTAACTAAAATAGGATTTTAGAATCCAATTTAGTAACACAAACATGCGCGCATTTTTTTTCTGAATTATTATTTACAAATGATTTTTACGCCTTTACATTTGACAGTCACCAAAAATGGTAAAAGCCTGATTTTAAATTTTATTGTTTAACGACAAAAAAAAAAGAATTTTTTTTTATACATATATAGAATTTTTTTAAAAATATATGCATTTGTGTATATATATGTATTTTTTTTCAGAAGCTTGGCACTGAACTAGAATAAAAAATCAGCTTAACTTTTTTTTTAGTTTGGCCTATTTCTGAAATTTTCCAAAGATCAAAATTCTTTTATTGTTTGGCATTGTCCAGTTATTATGAGAACAATTATGTGAATAATTTATTATTATCACGTGATTACGATGATTACAGGTTACAATATACTTATACTATAGGCGTAAATAATAAAATTGTTGTTTTTCTTAACAAGATCTTTTTTTAATATTGTTCACACACCTCAACTTCAAAATTTCCTAGAAAAATTGATGCATAATTTACGAAAAAAGTATGTGAACGTTCTCTATTGAAACAATAAGAACCAATTTAATTTCTTGAAGTGGAATTCTCTTTGTTGCATTTCTTTCCGCTCATGCCATTCCACAGGTCCCTATAAATTAACATTTCTTGTGGGACATCTATAAATTAAAAGGGATGGTTAGCTTTTGCTAAGTACTCTACTTAAAAATTTCTTCCCGCCATCTGGTAGGTGACGTGAGGCAGTATCCTTCTAAAGTATCAAGTAACATAATGAAGCAGTCCGGATCTTCTTCCTATATATTAGTGTCGATATTTTCACCGTCCGTTCCTGAAAACTGCACAATAAAAGGTATAGCTACAAGTATCTGTTTGAAAGAACTTACAAAAACACAGCTTTAGGTTATTGTGTCCTTTCGCTGACATCTCTCCTGGACACACAAAGATTTGTTATCATCCAGAAATTTTGAAAACAGAGAAGGACGTTCACAGTAAAACTGTGGCCACGAAGCGCTTCCAGTTCTCTGAATCCAAAAGTCCTCAATGAAAACAAATCATTGCATGAAAGAAGTTGAGGAAGGCACATAACTATTCCTCATTGCGGAACAGTAGACCTCAACACTGAGAAGATCTTATCCGTATCTCTCAGCCAGGTCCGTCAGTTAACAGAGTTATCATAGTTAGACCTGCCAGCTCGCAAGGTTGCCATAACTTCCTTGATCATTGCATCCACTTGTTCACCTTCACCAGAAAGAGGCAGGCAAAGCCCACTCTCTTTAGCTTTACGAAAAATGGTTCGACATACCTCTATATTAGATAAAAATGGAGGTCCGGAAGAGGGATGACGAGAAATAATGTGACGTTGCAGTCGTTGCACCAGTTATTAGAAGTCACGTGATTCCGCGTAAAGTTTTTTCCGATAACAAATTGTTTTTCGGGTGCCAACGAGTGCTAAAGGTTTGTTGAATGGGTTCTTGAGACAAACTACCATATCTTCAAGACGGTGAATTTGAACCTGATGACTTATATTCAGGTACCTTAACCAAGGCTTCACTTTTAAAGTTAAAGATATAACCTTGAGGTGGGTTCTCGTACGATGGGCTCCAGTCATCTATTTGCAACTCTTTAAAGCCGTTAAACCCGAGATAATTCTTTCTATTTTAAAGTCAGGAAAGAAGAGATAAAATTCAATTATTTATTTATTTATTTATTTTGAGGAGTATAATACAAAATTTATAAAATGGTTCTTGATAATTACGAAAATTATTGGTTTAATTTCTTCAAGAGCGCTAAAGTGAACATCATAAACTTTCGGGTTTGGAGTTAGCGTCATCTTTTTTTTGTTAGGAGGGTTTAGAACTCGGAAACAACATTTCCTATCTGTATTTTTTGTTAGGAGAGTTTAAACTCGGAAACAACAGACAGTTGTTTCCCGTCTGTTAGAAGCTTTTTTTGTAAGAGTTTTTTTATTAGGTAGTGTCTTTTTTGTTAGGAAGGTGTCCCCTTTTTATATTATTTTTCTTATCACGCGATATGTCTACATGTGAGAGTTTGATATATGAGTCATCTTTACTCTGATTTAGAGAAATTAGATATCATATGACTCTGACGAAGGTGATCTCGATAAAAAAAACTATTGCGTCTTGCGTCACGTAGTAAGTTTGTTTTTTTTAAAAAAAAGTAAAAAAAAAATAGTTTAAACAATAATCATTTTTGCCTTAAATAATTTTAAATAAAGCGGAGAGTCAAATATGGACTGCTTAGAAATACAAATATGCATGATGATCGCATGATCAATATAATCAATAGCAAAAATTTAATGTAAGAAAGTTTATTATCAAAATATAGAGGTTGGGAACAACCAAATAAATAAAAACAATAATAATGCGAATAGTAACTAAGTCTTTTTTTTTTATTAGTGTTAATAATTAATAATTCATAAGTAATAAAAAAAAATTCAACGAAATTTTGGATGACGTCACCCAACAAAGAATTTTAGTTTGAAAAAAAAAAAAATCCATAAAAATTTCAGAAAAAAATTTCGGTCTATTACAACCTATCGTAAATAATTTAGGATAGAACTATAAAAAAAAAAAAAAATTTTTTTCTCATAATTAGTCATTTATAAATTAATTTAGATCGTTAGATATTCGGTTGCAGAAAAATGAATATTAGAAATTTTATATATAATATTTTTATATTGGGTATAAATAGGTTAAGTATTTACACTGATAAGAGTTATAGGATTTTTTTATGTCATGTATTTAGTGTAGATACTTTATTGATGCGATGTAAATTTTTATGATTAATCGATTTTTCGATTATCATAATACGCACCTGTACGTATTATATGTAAAATATTCTATTTTTACTTTACTTTGGATAAATTTATACTTAGTTTTTTTATTCATATGAATAATTATATTTAACTTTTAACAACCTATAATTATACCACTGATTTTATCATTATTACTGTATATACTACATAAATTGAATGATTTCCTGCCAAGATGGAAAGAGGATAAAATTATTACCGTATTGAAAAGCTTGAGGCTAATAAAAAGAATCGACATGTAAATATAATAAGCTTCGAAAATATATTATGTTATGGACACGAGTTTTCACTTGTTAAAGTTTAAAAACATAAATAAGTACAAATGATGCGCTATAATTATAACGAAAAACACATTTTGTAATTGAACATAATTTGTTAGTCCAAACTTATTTTAATATGCCTCATTCACTACGAATATTGTAAATCATAAATATAATTATTACTAAAACATTATACAATGAATTGAACATCTACAAGGAAAAAAATAAAATAATAAGAAGTATTTATTTGTAATAAGGTTTAATATTAATCTTTCTTATTATATGTATAACAAATATTCAAGAGAGTATGTGTTTTATGTGTATGAGCATATGGTATGAATGAAAAATCACCAATATTTAAGTCCTGATCTTTGAAAAAATAATTTTGCCAATTCTCCTTCACCATCATCATCGCTGATATATCACCAATATTATACGGATGTGATATAACATTGGTATATTGGAAATATCCAGATGGGTCTACAACCTTTTCAGCCATCGAAATCTTCTTTTGTGCATCAATCAACATCCCGTGACGAACCCTACCATCATATTCCATGATATGCGCACCAAATACCTCCTTAAACCAATCGATCGATGTCATTATGTGAATTGTATCATTTCCTGAACAGGCGCGAAGCATCTTATGAAAATCGTGCACATAAAAGTAATCGCAAATATTACTCCAAGACATTATCCATGGATCTAATTGACGAATGGAGACAAGCAATGCAGAATTATCATTGGTAACAGGTTGAAAATGTAGATAAATTTCAATCTTTCCAGCTTGTCCCTCAAGTGGTGATAACCAATTGCAAACTTTTATAATCGCATTTTCAAGGAAGTTGTAAATTGCATTCAAAAAGCTGATTTCTTTACGTTGATTCTTAGATAAAATGGTGTCCATTGGCATCATTTGGAGCATGAATTCATTTGAAGAATGTGGTAAAATTCCGTTATTACAATTGAACATTGTAATGCTTGCGATTAGATTTTTTGGTGGTTGATCATCCATAAGGGGGAACTCACCAGTAAGAATATGACGTGCAACTTGTACACGATCTCGTGGCTCAACAAGATTAGCAACAATAAAAAATACATTATCTTCTGAAATAAAAGTTTTTGTCCAGAGTTTATGCGCTTCTTGGTGAGATTTTGGTGATCTGATAGACTTATTCCAATGAGAGATTAGAGATCTGACTTTTGGATGAAGCTCCTTTTTTGTTGGGTTAGGTGGACCATCATTAGGTGCATCTCCGAATTGTAAGACACTTTTGACGGCCTTCTCAAAGTATTTTAAAGTCTCCATTGTCCATACAGAAGAGAACCACACTTCTATTATTGATCGAATTGGAACTTTTTTCACCATCATTTCTTTAATCACATTAGTTTTTGCTACCGCATAAACAGATCCTTCATACCCAATGAATTTATTTGGTTGTTCAATAAAATTCATATTCTGAGTAATTTCAGCTTGTAAAAGTAAATCCAAATCTACAAAACCGACAGCAATATGAACCTTGCCTTGGTCATATGTTAAACTTAGCTTTGACATGCTACTAAAGCTTTGAGCGGCCACATCTTTACCCCCTAGATATTGAGATTTCATTTTTCCGGTAAAAATATCACCAATTTTTCTTGGAGTTGTGAGAAAATTTATGAGAACTTCAGAAAATTCATTCCATCTATTCATAATATATTTCGGGTCAGGTTCGTCAGGATCATGGTCTATGAATCTTCCGATAAGTTGAAGATATTCTATTGATGATTGAGCAGAATTAAGGAATTGAATATGCATCTTTTCATGTGGATATTTAATGGCATATTCTTGTTCAAAATCAGGTACATTGAAATTTTCTACAACATCATCAGAGATCAAATCCGATATAAATTCACGCATTTCAGATGAAGATGAACTTGTTGGTATGATGAGCTCGGTTCCAACTGTTCCACACACCTTTCTATGCTCTTTCCAGTCTTTTTTCTGACATTTTTTAGAACAATAATATATTTGATTACAATTTGTACATTTGTTCTTGGAAGGTTTCAAGCATACGTTACATATATTTTTCACAGGAACTTTATTAAGTTTTCCACTTTTAAAATAGTATATAAAGAAAAAAAGGAAGAAAAGTGAAAACAAAATGAACATCATGTCTGATTTATAAGCAAAATAAACAAATTAATTGAGCTTAAATAACACTGTATGTTACACATCCATACAAGCTCAAAAAAAAAAAAAAAGACCAGTTAATAACTGGTTTATAAGTAATATTAGGACAAATTAAATTGATCATTTTTAAAAAAAGTTTAACCGGGAAATTATTAACATATTTAATTGATATATAGGGTATATTGTATAGGTTTTGCCATAAAAATCGCTTTATTGTTTCCGAGATAGGAAATTTTATTGGACCATAGAACTATGGACTAACTTTATTGGTCACGTAAATAGGAGTAATTAGGCAATAAAAAGTACTTTCAAGGTAGAAAAAAGGTATTATTCAAATACTTGATTCGGCACAAAAAACACGCTATTTTTATAATTTTATTTCTATGTATACTAACACACTATTTTCATAATATTTTGAATATTCGTTTAATAATGCATTTTTTTACGATCACCGATCACGTGATATTGCAATATACAAAATTTAAACGGCACGATTTCATAAATTATAAAATGTATGAATAAGATATATTGTAAACAAAATCAATATATAATATAACCGTTATTTCGATTAGATAATCTTGCATAAAATGAAAATGAATTTATCTATTATATAATTTGATCAAAATTTAAGAAGTTTTAAGCAATTCAATACCGATATACATACTGTATTTGTTTTTTTTAAAAAAAAATCCTAATATATAATAAATCCGACATGATTTTACCTATTAGCGATAGTCGATAGATTTAAAATATGATGTCGATTGTATTTAGCTGTAAAATCTTACTTGCTACATTTTCTTTATAGATCCAATTTATAAATTTAGAAAAGTTTTAAATTAAATAATATTGTACTCTCAAATATGCACAAAATTTTTAGGAAATATGCAAAAAAAACATTAATGTTAAAATTAAATATTAATATAACCATTTGTTTATTGTCATTCTATTGGAACGAAAATATTTATTATTTACAGTACATGCGTATAATTTTTTATTTCTAGTTCGTACAAATTCTCGACTAGCGATCATCCATACAGTACATGGCTTAGACATCGTGAATTTCATGAGATTTCACAGTTAAATGCAGCAATTATGTAATGTGTATTTATAATATTCATAATGTACTATATAATTATTATGAATAATATGCAGCAAATATCCGCTACATCAAAATAACCGTAAATTTATTGAATCAAGAATTCTGTTAATGAATAAAATACAAAAAAAAGAAATTAACATGTATGAAAAAACCATACATCAGTGACTCATTTAGCAGATAATAAATAACTACTTTACGTCCGTGCGACTATCGCTAGTGTAAATTCGTGAAAGTTATATTTATCGCTGTTTCAAATTAGTGCGAGTGTGCGACCCCCTGTATGTCATCCCTTAAGGAAATCGGTTTTCACAAATCTGGAAATTCCTGAATTTCCTGGATAAATAAGTAGAGAAGGGTCAATTATTAGCGATCTCCGAAGGAATTCCTACAAAAATTCAAATATTTTCCTATGTGCGAGTTTTAAAATTGTGTATCACTCATATAAGTGTTCCGAAAGGGTCGGGTCAAACCCGGGTTGTTGACCCGACTCGTATTTAGGGGTCGGGTTGGGGTCGCATGATTTGATGACCCGACCCGTAGATTCGTGTTATACCTTTATTTTGATTTTTTGACCCGGCGACCCGAATCTTTTTATTATATTTTTAACTAAAAATTTAAATTTTTTTATATTACAGCTGTTTTCATAAGACCTGGGACAAAATAAAATTTTCAAATCAAACTATCAAATCAGGATCACGTGCCCAGCTAAAAATACCATCGGCGAATCGGGTTCAAAAATTTAGTTTGTCCCAGGTCTTATGAAAACAGCTGTAAATACAACTTGACGGGTCGAACCCGGGTTATCCGAGTCAGACTATAATCAGGTCAAGTCGAATCCGAGTCGTTACTTTTACACTCGGGTCGAGTTCTAATACACCTCAAAATCCGACCCGACTCGACCCCTTCGGAACACTAAGTGAGTGTGTCATATTTTCAAGTGAATCTACTTAAATAACTGAAATTTCCCAAGATTTCCTCTGGTAATCACACGCTTCTCTGCATAGTTATTCAAGAAAATTCCAGATTCTCCAGATTGTGTAAACAGTGGATGACGCACAGGGGTCGCACTACGCACTAATTTGAAAACAGCGATAAATAAATTTTCTTCTTTTATTTTATAACAATGAAATTGGCTAAATTAAAAAGTGTATTTGAAAACATCATCACTTTTTGTTAAAAAACACAATATAATATTTCACAATAATTAATTGTAACGATTAAATATTTTTTAAGAAAAAACGAAAAGTCCCAGATTATCAATTTTGAGGTGATACAAAAAATAGTAAACTATTTTTATCATGGGATAAAGTTTTATTTGTTGGCTACAATTGGCACATGATTGAATGACACCATTAAATATGAATACAATTGCGTAATTAAACAATTGATTCAATCTGATCCCTTACAAATTTTTTTCGTTATAAACATAAAACATGTCGATTTCTGGCACACAGATTTTATTATGGTGTTTGGTTCGAGGAGGATCCGTTTTTAACATTACTATAGAAAGGAATAATCGAGTTTCTGATCTCAAAAAAGCTATCAAAAATAAGAAACCAAATGATTTTGCTAATGTCGATGCAGATAGACTCACGTTATGGATGCTTAAAAACACTGTTAATATTAACGAGATTCAAAGCCTATTTCTTCAAGATAACGAGAATGACCAAAATATAGTTTTATTAAAGGATATGCGAAAAATTGAGAGTTATTGGCCTGAAGATCAAAACCATTCCGAAGATTATATCCACGTTGTCGTGGAACCACCAGTTCCTACCGGTAAGTTACTGTATAACAAATTTAATCAACGTTATATAGCGTAACTTTCCTTCATTATCATATGCCAATAATATTTAATCTTGCGCCTACTTCGTCTAACACATTAGAGCAACTCTTTACCGGTAAGCGAGTCTTAATAAATTTATAAACGCGGTGGCTTGTACTTACTGTGCTATAACCTTAATAAACATAGCAACAATTTCTTCACTCTGTATTATTTTTAACAATGATTAAGTAAACTTACGCTTCTTTCCTGACCAGGCCAAGTAGGAGCTCATTCACTTTCTCCTTCTAATGCAGATAACGACATGTTAAAACGGCAAAAGCTTATAAAAGGTTAACTTTGCATGTATCATGTTTGGTCGAGTTATACTTCATGCCTTCTTATTGCTTTTTTCTCATTCATAGAGTATCAGGTGTGGCCTTGAGGCGAATAGCCCCTCGGTTAAAGCCAGACCTGAAAAGTTCTTTAAGGATCAACAAACAAATCCAATCCTTAATGGTCGACCGCTTGAAAACACCGGTCCTCCTATTGCTCTTTTCAATAACACCTTTAGCTTATTTCTTAATGATTTTCATAATGAAAATTTGGAAATAACTTCTGATTTTTTGATATGGACTGAGGAACTTATTCTTGCAGCAGCAGATAGTTATGATAATGAGGAAGAACGGAATGAAAAAATAAGAGTGATACTTATGGAAAAATTGGAGCCATATTGTTGATTGAGTCCGGGAAAATAAAGCAAAAGTGTAAGAGTGATGGGATATTTACGATTACATCAGGCTTATTCTTCGTTCATTCGAGTAAAAATGATCCCACCATCCAAGGAGCGATATATTACAGAGATTACTGGTCTCAACAAAATGTATGTTTAATTTTAATCCTTTGGTTAATGCTGTTCAAATCCATGTGTTCACATGGTCATATAGTAATTAATATCTTTTACTTAGGTTGAACAAATCCGAAATTGTTGTTGCGCTCCATCTTTCATTATCGCCATGGTCGGTGCGTGGTTTTGTATTCTCGGAGGTGTCTTCCTTAGCAGGGTGGTAGTTCAGCCATTGACTGACTTGATTCCTCTCACAATAAATTTACAAGACTTTGATGAAGTGAGACGAATTGCTCGTCTTTTTTATTCGTTATCTCGTGCATTACAACAGCTTAGTTTGTTTTACCAAAATTTGAAATTGACACCATCGGATCAACGATTCTTTCCTTATATTCGACAGTTCCCATTCAAAGGAGAAGATATTAATTTCACTTACATAAATGAAATATTTGATGATCATACAAGAACTATCTGGAAAGCAAAAAAAGAAAATGGTCAAATTATTGTCGTAAAATTTACACCCAAATACAATATCGAAGCACACAACATCTGTTCGAGTATTTTCGTGCCCCAGATTTGTTCTATTGTAGCGATGATAATGAAGCAAAAACTCTTTGGGATTTAAGATGGTCATCATGGAGTATATTTCCGCTATTTCACTTGACCAAAAATTCATTAAAGGCGAAATCAAGACTGAGTCTTGTAAGGTTATTTACGAAGATATTAAGCAAGCCATTGGATTGCTACATGAGAAAAACTTTGTGTTTGCGGATCTCCGCGCTTCAAATATTTTGATTATTGACACAGAAGAAAATCAGCGGGCAATGCTCGTCGATTTTGATTGGTGTGGAAAAAGCGATGAAGACAGATACTCTCCGTCAATGAACAAGAATATATCGTGGCCTCTCGGGGCAAAACCGCGCACCTTGCTCAGAAAAGACCATGACCTTTATTGGCTTGATGTGTTGTTGCGTGAGTTTTTGAGGTATGTTCTCTTCCTCTCATTTAATAATCTGTGCGTAATATTGGCTCTATTTATATTTACTTTACTTTATATTCCAGTCCAACAGATACTGTACACTCATATTCGATATGCCAGTAGGTTCTCATATGTCTACCGCATCAAGAATTTGCTCTTCAGGATGAAGATATGAACATATTGTGAACATTTTAACGAGCTATTTGTTTGTCGATTATCGTAACTTTCATCTTCACAACAAAATCACATTGTGTAATTAATTAGATTACTTGTACACGTAGGGTCATGATTTTTAACAAATGTATATGTGTAGTATGGGTTTGTAACTGCATTGGAATAATAAAAGTATTTGCGTATTTGCATTTAACATTTTTATGCACAATTTAAAATTTTATTTTTGCCGTTCATCACATTCTTTCAAACAGTGTCAAACAAAAAAAATTTTGATTTGTGGAACGGCTCTATAAAAAATATTATTACAGCTGATTCCATAATATACGGGACACCCATTATTTTTACTCCATGCGGAGAGAAACTCAGTAAGATTCGGCATAACTCAAAAACTAACACCACTGCGCTCGGACCAGTATTCTGAATCTAACAATATAATTTTTATCTTATTCTGAACTTTACCGAGTTTTATAGAATGTACCGAATTTTATCGAATATGCCGAGTTGTCTCTCGGTATGTGACTAGGTGTCCCATATATTATGAAATCAGCTGTAAAATATATGCCGAAATATATATGGAATGGCGAATTGTAGATTCCAAAATCCCAAATCCCAAATCCCAAATCGTAAAGCCGGCCAGAATTAAATGGAAGCTCAATTTAATATCACGTGACACAAATTGACCAATAGTAATATAGTCAGCGGGTTTGGGTCTTTGGGATTTAATAAATTTATTTATTTTAAAATTACTTTTCATTCCTTTCATTTATTTATTTCTTAATTTTACATTATATCCTAATTGCCTACATAAAAAAAAGTATTCAAATAAGGACACCAGATCGGTCTTTCACTTCCACCAATTGATTTTCCAATTATGCACTAAATAATTATTACCCATTAAAAATTTAAAATAGATTATTTTTAAAAAAAAAAAATTCAAATTTATAAAAATAAAATTACATATAGTTCGATATCAATGGAATATAATAACATGGGATTAGGGATTGGAATCGATTAATCGAAAATCGACAAAACATAGTAAAATCGATTCTCAAGAATCGATTCTCAGCAATTTTTTACATATAAGTTAACCTGACTCCATAGTAATTTTTCATGCCGGCCAATTGCTGATTATTTTTGCTGAAATTAGAAACTGATTCAAAGTCAGATTGGTCGTCTATAAGAAAAATCTTGAAAAGATTCGATTTTCGATTCCAATCCCTACATGGGATATTCTACGTAAAAGGTTGAATCAATCTTTAGGTACTTACATTTTCATATGCCGGTTCATATAAGATCGCCAATCTTCTATATACAAAAGAAATATACTAGAAAGATGACAAAAGAAAAAATAAATTATTGTAAAATTTCATTAGTCAGTGGCTTGATCGGAAGACACACGTGATTAAATTTCGACTGCAAATCACAAAATAATTTTTAAAATATTATATTTTGTCGCGTATTGCAGTATTGCATAAAGTTAACATAAATGCATAATTATATAGTATTAAGTATTAACCGGTAAACTTAATTGTATACACTCAATTCATTAGCTTCTGCAGATATAGTTTATATTGTTTTTACAAAATGTTAGCTGATACATGGAATAATATGTTAAGTTTTGGCTTCGTTGTTTATATAAACTTTATTCATAAACATTTTGTTTACAGGTATTGAAATACAAAATTAACAAAAAATTTAACTAACTTTAAGGAAAATGTGACAACAAAGGAAGAATCAAATCTACATTCATTTTAAATACCAACAATTTAGGATCCTCCGATTAAGCTATTTAATCGAAAATTCTAGTGGTTCTATAAAATGCTTAAAGTTCAGTATGTTGATGAGCAGAAAGAAACGAAATTACTATGCTACCTAATATTATTTAAGTTATAACTAGATGAAATTTTGTAGAGATCAGTAAACAATACTAAAACATTTTGTTTTATTTGCCACGTCATTTAATTATCATGCTTTCTATACCTAAAGCATTTATAAAGGTCTACAGCAACGCAGGTTGATTGCGCCGCCAAAATTACTCCGATATACTATACTATATAATTCGGCACGTGGTCTACTAAATTTCACGTGTGCTCTCTTAAAAAAATTAGTGGTGTAAGTGTAACCCTACGTAACGATTAACGACGAAATATGGAAATAACGGTATTAAAGGAATATGTTTTCCATCATACAAACAAAGGTAACTTTCGTCCTCATCTTCATTAATATTATTACAGTATTTTCTCAAATTCTTCGGTTGAAACCATTGATTTTTTGTATTTTTTGTTGAATAAAATAAATTTCGGAGACTTTCGGCTTTTCGATGAATGAACTTTCGCCAAATGAAAGGATTCGGTCTTAGCCTAATCTCCTTTGTTTCAGTAAGCATTCAACCATTAATTTGCCGAAGCAACTAATTTTACCCTCTTATTAATAATATTACATTTCTTAGATAAAAGATTTAATAAATAGGTTTCTCGTTAATCTCGTTATTATTAAAAAAAATTGGCAATATGGCAATAAAAAAAAATTGGCGAGAAAAAAAAAATGACGAGAAAAAATACATTTGATATTTATATATAGTTTCAAATGTATTGAACCTATTAAACCACAGAAAATCCACAAGGCTTTGCGTAAAAAAAAAGCAGATAAAAAAAAATGCAGGATTGCCCAGTCGGTGGTATCCGTTCGCAAATAAAATTTTTAAATGCCAGATTTCCCCGGATATCCTTTAAAAGGACTTTCCCCAACAAAATGACAGATAAAATGACAGCTATTTAAATTCAAGGCTCGTGACATGTATTTTTTTTCCTGTAAATGATTATAATGTTATCAACTTTAAAAAAAAAAAAATGATAAATTTAGATGATCTCGACATAAAATTCAGATGTCCCTGCACGAAAACTATTTGAGGTTTATTCTACGTTTAGGAAAAAAAAGAAACGCCTTAGTGCCTAATGCATATAATAAAAACCAATTTAGAATTACCTAGACTGAAACGAAATCATGAGCTCCATTAAAACAGTGTCCGATTACACTTGATCATCATGAGTCTATACAATGAGTGCCCTTATTAGTTAAATAGGGCAAAAGAATAGTACAATGCAACAATGATTGTCATTTCTAATAGATTTATTTTTTTTCCGAGTCAAAAAACCTACAAACTAGCTCATACTAACTTTTTTTTTATGTACCCACTTCGTCATATTTTTTTTTTCTTTTTCTCCTTTTCCCCCCTTTTTTAAATAATATAATTTTAAATAATAATAATTGTTTTTTTTTTTTTT